TGTATCTAAACTGCCTACTACACTCAAATACAAAAAAAATGCAACGAATAAATTTTTTCTTAAATTTAAAGTTTTTTATTTTTGTTATTTTTAGCCCTATTTTTATGATTTTTTTTAGCTAACTGTATACAATTATATCAACTTTAATTCGTAAACTAAGTTTCTTATAAACCTCAGTATTTGGCATATTATACAGGGTTTATCGAGGGGCTGTTTTTTACCCTAACTTTAAAACACCCTGTGCAATAATTTCGTGTATAAATTTTCCTAAAATATAATTTTACGGTCAGAACCATGACTTCTGAGCATTTTGTTTTTTGATTCATGTCAATTCATGGTTTGGTTAAGCATCATCATCATCATCATTTAGCTTATACCGTCCACTGCTGAACAAAAGCCTCCCTTAACTCTAGCCATTTCCTTCTATTTTGTGCCACTTGAATCCAGTTTCCAGCCACCCTCTTAATGTCATCTGTCCATCGACTAGGAGGTCGTCCTCTGCTTCTATAGGCCTCGTGTCTCGGTCTCCATTCCACAAGCCTCTTTGTCCACCGTCCATCTCTCATCCTAGCCACATGTCCTGCCCAATTCCATTTAAGATGTAAGACGGATATCACCGCATCTCTTACTTCTGTTCGATTTCGTATTGTATGATTGGGCATTTTATCTCTGAGTGTAACTCCCAACATAACCTTTCCATTTTCCGTTGCATGACCTGTATCCTATGTATGTTCTTTTTTGTCAAAGTAAGCGTTTCAGCTCCATACGTGAGGACAGGCAAGACACACTGGTTAAAGATCTTTCTTCTTAAACATATAGGAATATCAGATCTCAGTATATGCCTTAGTTTGCCAAATGCCGTCCACGACAAACCTATTCTTCGTAGAATTTCGTGGGTCTGATTATCCCTTCTAATACCGATCTCATGCCCTAAGTATTTATTATATATATATATATATATATATATATATATATATATATATATATATATATATATATATATATATATATATATATATATATATATATATATATATATATGCACTTGTTCCAAAGGTATGTTTAGAATTTAGAATGAGTGGGAGGGGGGTTAATCACTTCGACCTTACAGATCCATTGTGTCCCCTTTTCTTGAATCATAACTCATCATACAGTCCCAGGGCTTTGACAAAAGCCAGTATCTGGGACGGTTTTATAGAGGGTAGTTCTCCATCTCCAATATCAGTCGTACCAAAATTCATGGCACGAATGGTTGTCGTCTCGGCGCACTCAGTGATGAGGTGTACTGGTGTTTCCCCATCTTCCCCACAGAACCTGCATTCGCCGTTTCTTCTTAGTTTCAATCTACTGAGGTGTTCATTGAGGAGACAGTGTCCTGTTAAAAACCCCTTGACAATCCGAAGATTGTTCTTACTCAGACCCAGGAAGATCTGTGATTTTTCTTGATCATAAGCCCTCAGAAACTTCTTCGAGTGTCTTAGACCATTGCAAGATTTCCATGCCAGGTTGCGGATGGAATCTTCCAAGTTCTTGAGTTCCGCCTTGAGTTGGTTACCACTTGGAAAGCAGAACGGTTCTGGTCCAGTTAGTGGAGTGTTCGCTCCTTTCCTAGCTAGATTATTTGCTTTTCATTGCCTTCTATCCCTTGGTGAGCAGGCACCCAGTGTAGGAGGACTTTGTTTTCTTTGCCCTAATTTATTCAGCCTCTCTATGCATTCTTTGACCAATTTCGAATTGATTGATACTGAGTTGATCGCCTTTAACGCTGCTTGACTATCAGATAAGATGGCTATTTCTTGTTTCCGATAGTTCCTATCTAAGATAAGTTGTACGCATCTCTCGATAGCGTAGATTTCTGCCTGTAGGATACTAGGGTAAGTGCCCATTGGTTCGGAGTAATTAGCTCTCGGCCCAAACACTCCGATCCCTGTTCCCGTATTGGTTTTGGAAGCATCAGTATACCAAGTTATGGTATGGTCAAGTTATGGTATACCAAGTAAAGGTATGTTATTAATGTTTAAATTTCCACTTAGTACTAGGTTTGTCATGTATTGTGTCTTTGACAAGTTAATTTTCAAACCGACTTTTTCCGAAGCATAATTCAGCATATCCAGCATATTCTGTGCCTCCTGTATGTTGTCTGTTATTAAAATAATGTCATCTGCAAAACAGAGATGATTTATCAATTTGCCATCGATGTTAATTCCTGTTGAATCCCAGTTTATCATTTTTAACATACTTTCTAGCACAGCAACGAATAGTTTAGGGGACAGTGTGTCGCCTTGTCTTACCCCTCGATCGATATTGAATTTGTCTGTGCATTGATTTGTCGATATTCTGACGTTTGCCGTGGCATTATCATATATATGTCTTATGATTGAGGAGTATCGATGATCGATGCGACTCTCACTTAGTGTCTCTAGAAGCTTCCACTGGTCTACCGAATCGAAGGCCTTCTCGAAATCCACGAAGACAAGCATTAGTGGTCTATTATACTTAATGCATTTCTCGATAAGGACCTTGACTGTTAGAAGATGGTCATGACTCTATTACCAGTCCATCGTCGCCGGCAGCTCTGTTGTTTCTCATATCTCTAAGGGCACTGATAATTTCTTCCTCGGTTATTTCTGGAATTTCTTCCGACCCCTGATTTATTACCTTTCGGATGTCGGTTCTGATCCCCTGCTGTTTTGATGTGTAAAGTTCTTGATAGAAAAGTTTAATAGAGTGTAGGATTTCCTGTTTGTGTGTTACTATGTTGCCGTGCATATCCTTGATCTTTTGTATTTCTTTTCTTCCCATTGTACTATTTCTCAATACCTTCAAACTTTGATTCTTCTCTATGACGTTCCTAATTTTTTCCTAATTTTTAGAGCGAAATGAACTAATCACGATTAATTTGCAATTTTTTCAATTATCATTACTTTCTGATGTAATTTTTTTAATATGACGAGATGGTTTTGGTGACTATTGTAACGTCAAACTCCGCTACATTCGATACTCTGTAGTAAATTAAAAAAAAACGTTATAGAAAGTTTAATAAATATTAATAACGATAACTCAACTAACTGTAATACTCAAATATACAAACTGGTTATTTAGGTTATTTTTTAAATAACCTAATAATACTTTCTTCCCCTACGAGATGCGAGACCTTGACGTTGGTGGGGAAGCTCCCGGCCAGGGCACCGGAGGGGACCCCTCTTGCGCTCTGGCTAGGTCTAAGGAGCATCTCAATGTCTTGTCCCTGGCTGTAGTGTCGTGGCCAGGGAACTGCATCAAGACATAAAAACGATGCCGGACGGGACCTCCTTCGGGACTTAACGTCCGTCATACCGTAAGTCTCTCTTAGGAGAGACATGGGGGCTTTGGCTTTACTGTCTGAGCCGCGTGGATGAGGTACCACTATAAAAACCCCCCAAATCCTACGGTATAGTGCGCGCCAAAGGGATGGATGGTCGGGGGGAAACCCGACCACTAGCGACTAACCTGGGATACCGGGCGACCTCCCAGCTCATAAATGCCTAGTCACGGTATTGCGGGGCTCTGCCGTGATGGTCGTTTCTTTCCCCTGCTACTCGTGGGATCATTATATGGACCAAGAAAGCAAAAAACCCAATGACGAGGATGGATCAAACCGTCCCGATCCTTCTCCTAAGGAGGAGGAAACTAAGGAGCGTGGGACTATTCCTACCCCAAACAACTCACCTCAGCCGGATCAGGAAACAGAGGGGCCCAGATCCCCCTCGCCTGAGAAGGCAGAAGGTGAACCTCCTTTCGGGGTCTCCAAGCAATTGGAGAAATTATCCCTGGAAAAGAAAAGGTTTGCAGGGGCGACAAGAAAGCTCCTCTCAAGACTTCTCAAGGGCGGAATGCCCTATGAGACCGCTCTGCAGACGATTCTGCAGCGACAAGCGGAGAAACAAAGGGCACAGATAAGTGGGGGTACCTCTTCCGGGAAGAGACAAATCAACCCGGAGGAGAATAAACCTCACACTGGTGCTCCTAATGCTAGCAAGCGCATCCGCTCGGATGCAAGCACGCCTGAACAGAGCGCTAAGAAGCCTTGTAGGGAGGGCGCAAGAAGCTACGTGGAAGCCGCTGGGGAAATAAGGGTTGGAGTAATCCGACCTAACCACCCAGAGAACAGCCTATCCACCGAGCAACTCTTGTTGTTGAAACGTGCCATTATGAAGGCCGTGGACGCAAGCACAGAGGAAGGACTACAGGTACGCTTCCAAGGCTGCTCGATTCGGCCTGGATGGCTGCTTGTAATCTGTGCCGACGAGACCAGCGCTGCGTGGTTAGAAAGGATGGTCAACGACCTTTCGCCATGGCAGGGCATGGAACTCAGGGCAGTAAGGGGGCGGGATATACCCAAGCCTCATGTCTGTACGGCCTACATTCCCGATGATGAGCCTGGAGAACGGCTCAGAGGGGATGTTGTGCTGAACAGACTTAGAAGAATGAATCTTAGCCTGCTAACTCAGGAGTGGAGAATCCTCCACCAGAGTGATGCAGGGCCGGGACAAACCTGGACCTTTGCGGTTGATGAGAGATCCATGGATCTCCTTCGCCGCAACGGATTCAGGGCCTACTTTGGGTTTGGGCAGATTACCTTCCGACCCAGAGATAAGGAAAATGAAACCAATACGGAGCAGACCAGGGCGTCAGTCTCGGGAGATGGTGGGGACCATCCTACAGCCTCTCGGGTGACGACTGACGCCACGAGGTCTGGCAACACCCAGAGGGAGAGAGCTGGAGGCAAAGTAGTGGCACGGAAAAACCCGGCCATGAAAGGGTCTAAAGCTAAACCCTCTGGAGCCTCGGGGAAGCCTGGCAACTCGAGTGGGAACAAACCCACCCGGAAAGGCAGGCGGAACGAATGTAGGTTTCCCACCAAAAGGGGACGTAGACCCCCTGACGGTGGGAGCAAAACCTAAATTTGACTACTGCAGGGATGGCTGCAGCAGTCAAATGTATACAAATTAACCTGCAACATGCCAAGGCCGCCTCTAACGTCCTTGGCAGAAGGTTCAAGAAGGAGGACGTGCATCTCGCCTTCATTCAAGAACCCTGGGTTAACTCAGGCCGCGTATGTGGCCTTGGGGACGCAGAGGGTAGGCTAATTACCGCCCCTGGAGTAACCAGACCTAGGGCATGCATTTTAGTAAAAAAGAGCGTGCACTCTTTTAACCTTTATAGGTTCTGCTGTCAGGATGTGGTGGCGGTACATATCAAGATCCCAGCGGGGAGGAGCGGAGGGGGAGTGGAGTTCATTGCCTGCTCAGCATATTTCCCGGGAGACAAGACAGCGGATTTACCTCCTCCAAGAAAGTGAGAGAACTAATCTCCTTCTGCAAGAGGAAAAACCTACAGCTGGTGATAGGATGCGACGCCAACGGCCACAACGAGGCATGGGGAAGCACGGACACCAACTTCAGAGGTGAGTTAATTCTTAATTACTTAATAGGTGAAGGGTTAGTAGTTAATAACATAGGCTCCGAACCAACCTTTGTTACTTGTAACAGGAAAGAGGTTTTAGACATTACGGTCAGCTCTAATTACTTGAGCAATAGGATATCCAATTGGAGGGTATCATCTGAGCCATCGTGCTCGGATCATAGACACATACAGTTTGAAATAAGCGTAGGTGAAAGAACTCTCCTGCAATATAGGGATCCTAAGTGCACAGATTGGGAAGGATACAACCGCTCACTCGTGCATCTGCTGGAACCCACAATTGCAAAAGTGAGAGATCGCGACGAGATCGAGATTGCAGCGGAGCAACTGCGATGTGCAATTATAACGGTTTATAGTGAAAACTGTCCACTTAAAACAAAGAAGGATAATAGAAAGTCCTCTTGGTGGAACAACAAACTGGACAAAAGAAGAAAAGAAGTGCGGCAGCTTTTTAACCGCGCTAAAGTGTCAGGTAACTGGGAAACTTATCGTGCGACGTTGGCGGAGTACAATAAGGAAATAAGACGGGCGAAGAGAGAGTCCTGGAGAAGGTTCTGTGGGAGTCTGGTCGATCTACCTCAAAGCACCAGAATTCACAAGATTCTCTCAAAAGAACCAGTGAATGAGCTAGGGACGATACAGCGCCCCGACGGTAATTTCACAGAGTCCAGGAAAGAAACGCTACAGATTTTGGCCCAAAAACACTTCCCAGGCTGCTTGATACTAGGTGATGAAGAGCTACCCCCGATACTCATGCGTCGTAAAACCGGCCCAAAAAGAGGATTGGGAGATAGCGAAGAAAGTAATCACCTATAGGGGAGACTAAAGGGGCGATCGAAAGTTTCGACCCATTCAAATCCCCAGGAGAGGACGGAGTGTTTCCGGCCTTATTGCAGAAGGCTGAGAACATTATCGTCCCTCGCTTATTAAGAATTTTAGGGCAAGTCTGGCATGGTCACACCTGCCAGCTGACTGGACGAGAGCAAGGTGGTATACATACCGAAACTGGGGAAACAAAACCTACAACCTGGCTCATATCGACCAATAAGCCTTACATCATTTCTGCTGAAGACTCTGGAGAAGATATTGGATGGACACATTAGGGGGAGGATTCTTACGTCTAATCCCTGAATGTCCGACAATATGCTTATCAACAGGGAAAATCAACAGAGCTGGCCCTCAACAATTTGGTAGGGAAATTAAGAGTACCTTTGATCGCAAAGAAATTGCGGTAGGGATATTCCTAGATATTGAGGGAGCATTCAACAATGTCACCCCTCAATCGCTCCTAGGCGCTGTGAAAGCACGAGGAGTCGAAGCTACCATAACTGAATGGATTGAGCAAATGCTCAAAAATCGAGTAGCAACGACCTCGCTCAGTGGTGAGTCCGTTAGGTTTGTTCCGGGCAGGGGATGCCCGCAAGGAGGAGTTCTCTCTCCTCTTCTGTGGACCCTGTTAGCGGACGACCTGATTGCCATCTGGTCGTCCGCTAACAGAATCACAAGAAACTCCCTCCCTCACTGCATCCCCAGAACTACTCGAACCACCACTGAGCAGGTCGCCACTCGGTACGAGCATTTGCTCAATCCTCGTGCTTCGACTCAGCTTTTAAAGCGATTGAGGGGTGACATTGACCCCTCAATATCTAGGAATATCCCTACCGCAATTTCTTTGCGATCAATCATCGATGCATACGAGGTTGAAGCACAGGCATATGCGGACGACCTGGTGATCCTAGTAAAAGGACACAAAGAGGAGGACATCTCCTCAAAAATACAGGAAATCCTAGATGCAATTCACGGCTGGTGCACACTGGAACAATTAAGTGTAAACCCACAGAAAACCGTGATCATACCATTCACCAGAAGAAGGAAAACAGACAAACTGAAACTGCCCATTCTTCTTGGTGAGACAATTCCGTTTGCGGAGGAAGTTAAGTATCTGGGATTAAACCTGGACACAAAAAATTAGCTGGACCTCTCATCTGGAAAAAACATCAAAAAAGGCTTGCTATGCTCTATGGGCATGCCGCCGAATTTGTGGTAGAAACTGGGGATTAAACCCCAAAAATATGTACTGGCTATACGTGACGGCCATCAGACCTATTATCACGTATGGTGCAGTTGCCTGGTGGCAGAAAGCCAACCAAATAACGGCAAAGAATAAATTGTCGAAATTACAACGACAAGCATGCTTAGCGGTGACTGGTGCCTTCCATTCCACGCCGTCAAAAGCTATGGAAACCCTACTCGATCTACCTCCTCTTCAAATTCTTTTGGAAAGAGAGGCGAGATGGAGCTACATATAGGTTTCTAAATATAGCACGAGGAAGCCAAGGAACAATTATGTTCATACAAAACCGGCTAGTAGAAGAACTACAGTCGGATGAGATTATGGGAATGATCTCGGATCTTACACCACCAGTCCAACTCTTGGCGCGCACCTACAACGTCCTGTTTCCGAACAGGGACGAGTGGGATAAGCCGGGAAACGGCTTATTACGTGCGGAAATGTGTTGGTACACGGACGGATCCAAAAACGAAAAGGATCTGGCGCAGGAATTTACTGCAGCAGTCCAAAGACTGAGATCTACCACAGTCTTGGAAAACACACCACGATCTTCCAAGCTGAGCTATATGCTATTGAAACCTGTGTGCAACTGCTGGTAGAACAGCAATACACCGGGAAAACAATATGCATATTTTCGGATAGTCAAGCTGCGCTGAAAGCACTTGAGGCAACGAAAAGCACGTCTATGACGATTCTTCATTGTAAGAAACTACTCAATATACTGGGAGATAGGAACAAAGTGTCGCTAATATGGATACCGGGACATGTCGGCCTAGAGGGAAATGAACGTGCTGATTCCCTCGCCAAAATTGGTGCAGGCTCGCCATTCGTGGGCCCAGAACCGGCACTTAGCGTTCCCAAAAATCTCGCAAAGAGACAGGCTCTGTGAATGGGTTAGGGGTGAGACATTCCGAGACTGGAATGACAGTCCCGGAATGGAGCATGCCAAGAAAATCCTAGCAGGGCCATCCAAACATAGAACAGGAGAACTCCTAAAGGCCGGTAGAATGGAACGCGTGTGCTCACTGCAGTGTACACGGGCCACTGCCGGCTGAGATCTCACCTACAGAGGACGGGACTGGTGGAAGACGCCGAATGCCGACTCTGTATGGAAGATGATGAAACAATGAAGCACGTTATGTGTACCTGCCCCGCTGGGAGCAGGACCAGGTTTGAGATATTTGGCAAACCCATGCTAGACCTATCAGACCTAGGAGACATATCGCCCTCAGACATAACGGCCTATATTAAGAGGCTGGGTCTTGAGGATGAACTTTGACGCTCTTGTAAATTAGAGCTTGTAGAAACTGAGCCACAATAGGCCCTCGCGGCCTCAGTGGAGGGTCCCCTATGGGACCCACTCTTAGTCAAATACAATACAATAATACTTTGTATTGCCTCCCTTGGCTGCTATAACTGCCTGTATACGTCCGTTCATACTGTCATTGAGTCTGCATAAATCATATTGCTTCATACCATCTTGATACTTTAGCATTCTTCTTTAAGAACCAAGCAAAATTCATTTAATGAAGCTAGTACCGCCTCGCGACCTCTAACCCTCCTGCCAAGTATTTCCAACATCGAACATGATGGGCAGTTCATAGTAAGTAGTATATACTTCACAATAATTACCAAAGCCGCCTGGTTATATTGAAAAATAACTTCAAAAAGAAATGATAACTGAAAAAATTGCAAATTGTTGGTGGCAAGTTCATTTTACTATTAAAAATTAACTAAGGCATGTGTTGACAGGATCCAAAAACAACGTAAATTTTCCGAAAAATTACATTTTAGGAATATTTACACACAGAATTATTGCATAAGGTGTTTTAAAGTTAAAGCAAAAACACAATCCCTCGATTAACCCTGTATAATATGCCAAATACTAAAGTTTATAAAAAACTGAATTTACGAATTAAAGTTGATATAATTATATACAGCTTGCTAAAAAAATCATGAAAATAGGGCTACTAAAAATAACAAAAAATAACACTTTCAATTTGACCAAAAATTTCTCCGTTGCGTTTTTTTGCATCTGAGTGTATATTCAGTGTTATTACAATTTTATTGGTGGCGAATTATATTATTATTACTATTTAAGTATAGTTATCAGTTAATAAATGTGTAGTGCACAAAAATCCTAGACAGACTGTATATCATTAAAATCACAACCTAATTCATTAAACATTCAGTCTACTTACGCTAGTTTTTACTTAGTTTTTGAGTACCCACGCTTTACCTGCTGAGAAATAAGTTCAGATATTTTAACTTGTAGTATATTTCGATCCCAGAAACACGCCTATGAAGTTTTTTACGCGAAAAAAAAATTTGAAAATGTGGAATTTTTTGAAAAAAAATTTGGAAATTTTATTAGTTTTTAGTTAAAAAACATTATTTCTAGATAACATAGTAATATAAGTAATAGATTAAATTTACAAGAAAGAAAATTTAGAAAAGATCCAGTGGTTCTCCAAATTTATTAAGCAAAAACATATTTTTTTGGAAAATGTCAAAGTAAAATAACACGGTTATTTTGGTAAAGAGAAAATATGTTTCTTTTATCGAGATCTACCACCCCTTCAAATATCTGTTCGTATTTCTGTGACACCCTGATTATACAGGGTGTTTTAAAACAAATGCTTTAGGGGGTGATTCCTTGTTCAAAATAAAGGGTAGTTTGCTTTATAAACGTTGGGTCAAAAGTCAACCATTAGGGAGATATTGCGGTACAAAGATGGCGGAAAAATAATGTTTTTATTTTTATCTTGAAAACGAAAAAAGATAGACTAATGAAATTTTATGGAAGCCTTACTGTTATGAAAACACACTTTCTGGTAATTTTTTCACTTTTTTAAAATGAGTGGAAGGGGTTGAAATAAACTACCCCTATCATTCTTGTTAACGAAATTTAAAGAAAAATCTTATCAAACACGTGCAAAAAAATTAATTTGGATAGCTTGGTTTGTTTAGAAACTTTTTTATCTCTTGTATTTTTTTGATAAAACTCACCGATTTGAAATTAAAAAATAAAATGTAAAGCATTACATGTCAGGACAAAAAACAGTTTCTGATAAAGAATCTAGTGGGCTGCTGTAATTTTTTTAGGAAAAAATCTAGTCGGCCGCTGTTACTTTTTAGGATGTTCCTAATATTATTTTATTTGACATTACTCTACTGCAATACGTTATTATCTAGATGATTATTATTATATATTATCACTAGATTCTTAATCTAAAAATGTTTTTTGTCCTGACATGTAATGCTTTATATTTTATTTTTTAATTTCCAATCGGTGAGTTTTATCAAAAAATCACAAGAGGTAAAATAGTTTCTAAACAAACTAAGCTATCCAAATTAAAGCATTTGCATGTGTTTGATAAGATTTTTCTTTAAATTTCGTTAACAAGAATGATAGGGGTAGTTTATTTCAACCCGTTCCACTCATTTTAAAAAGTAAAAAAATTACCTAAATGTGTGTTTTCATAACAGTAATGCTTCCATAAATTTCATTAGTCTATCTTTTTTCGTTTTCAAGATAAAAAATAAAAACATTATTTTTCCGCCATCTTTGTACCGCGATATCTCCCTAATGGTTGACTTTTGACCCAACGTTTATAAAGCAAACTACCCTTTATTTTGAACAAGGAATCACCCCCTAAAGCTTTTCGCATTTGTTTTGAAACACCCTGTATATGCAGGCAGACAGGGGTGAATCTATTTAAATGTGAAATCATTAAAATATGATTAGTTCAATGCTTTATATATACAATGTGCCGTGACTAAAATCAATCACAAATTATTATGTAAAGTTAATAAGGCTTAAGTTAAGATTAACATTATGAAAGATAATCTCACTGGACATAAAATATTTTATTTTATTACGTGAATAATACAATAATAATTTTACAATGTACTTTCAACTCATCATCCAGATGTTTGAAATATTTGGCAAAGTGATGGAATGCTAGTTGTTTTTGCCATTAGTAATAGTATTAGGATTAGTATTAGAAAGCGTATTAAAGGATTTAGAAT